GGTCGGGCATGTCCCGCGCAATTCCCTCGACGTTTTCCCCTCGGGGAGCCTTCGGGCGTTCCCTTACGGGGCTGCTGTTTGGAAATGCCTCGCCCAAGCTTCCGTTCGCGCAAGTGCTGTCGTACCTGGCTGTAGTTAGCATAGACGGCGATCGCCTCATCTTCTTCTAGAACTCTAGAACCACGTCGTCGGGCAAGTCTCCAGCAACGAAGAGCACCTCGACATCGCCCATGCATTTGATGGCCTCATTCACGATCTCGCCCCCCCCCATGGGCCTCGGGCGAAGTAGACAAAGACTGTTGCAGGATAACCCAACGGAAATCGTCGCGATCCGACCCCCGGTCCTCGCATCCGCCACCATTCCCTTGATATCCGACAAAATGCGAGGAGGAACACATGCCATGGATACGACGGCCGCCTGTGCCAGAAGGCAGCGGACGTTCAAGCTCGAGGAGCGCTTCACGCGCCAAATGAAAATCGTTGAATCCCTCTGCCCAGTGCTTAACCGTATCCCAAGCAGCGCCATTATGCGTGAATTGCATCAGATGCACGCGCCCTGCCAAGTCCTCTGGCAGGATCATGCGCTTCTCGAGTTCTCGGAAGAGCACTCGCGCACACGCGATCTTATTGCCCAGGGATTCAGCTCGCTTGCGCTTGATGTCTTCTGAATAGAAAAACTTCTCAAAAGCCCTCGGCATCCTGCGTTCTCGGCACTCGGCAAAAGCCTTCGGGACGTGCTTCATCACAACCTGCCCGCCGCCCTCGGCAGACAGCTGGTCCTGGGTAAATCCGTTAATGATGATCTTGAGGACGTCTTTGGCATAAAGCTAGAAGAGGTACCCGCGTCGTGTTTTCAAAGATCTGGTGGTCGCGAGCCACGTATGCAGCTCCTTCGTGTAAGATTCTGGACGAGTATCCGTATTTTTTCCACCCCAAGTGGGAGGTGGGTCGCTTGGTATCCTTGGGGCCTCCGGTTGTTCAGGAAACTGCCCCGTTGGCGATCAAAAGATCCGGCAGTGGTATATCCCCAATTGGTCGGAACCAAAGGGGTAAAAAGGCATAGCCTGTCCTCGCAGAGGCGCGTTCTGCCGATCTGCTGCAGCCGGCGAACCACGTCCCCGCACGGTCCATACTGATGAGGATTGTTGCGTATTGGGCTGTGCCTCCGTCCAGAGTTGTGATAACCAGCGGGCCCAATGCTGATCTGACCAGCCCACATTGTCATCATCTTCCCAACGAAGAGAATATCGTCCTCCAGCTCCTGCCTAAAGGTCCTGATCTGGTTGTAACCACGGACCTGCTGGAAGTTCATCCTCGTGAAGCTGAGCGTCGTCTGGAGAAACCACGGCGGCGCTCGGTGCAATGGGGTAGAGAGCAAGAACAACGGTAGAATAGTAAAGAGTATGTCGCCCGAGAATCGAATGACAGTGGAGTCGTCCTGACTCCCCTCGTGGATCTCAACCACACGCTCTGCTTCAACTGTGAATTGTACGATAGTGACTTTGTGGATACACAAAGACACGAGGTACAAATAGGGGATACGCAAAGACACGAGGTACAAATAGGGGGGCCCGTGCTAGAAGAGAGCACGTTCTCTTTCCTTGTACGGAAGCGTGGGCCCTTGTGAACCGATATAGCGGCGCACAAGGGAGAACAGAGAGAGGCGCAGGAGAAGGAGAGGCTGATAGGGGCCCGACAACCACAGACAGTTCCGCAGATCGCAGCCTCCCATGGGCGGCGAAGTCGAACTTGAATCTGGGTAGGACGTTACTGTGCCCCCCCAACACCCATCGAAAGTGGCGACGACTTCGCTGACCGCAGTCCCCCAGGGATGGCGAAGACGAACGTGAATCCGGGAAGGACGTCACTGTGCTGCCTCCCCCTCCCCAGCAGCCCTCGAAAGTAGCGGCCGTTTCGCTGATCACGCCCCGCCAGGGATGAAGAGGTCGAGTTTGAATCTGGGTGGGGCGTCACTGCGCTGGCCCTCCCAGCAGCCCTCGCATGTGGCTACAATTTGGCAGATCGCAGCCCCCCAAGGATGGCGAGGTCGAATTTGAATCTGGGTAGGACGTCACTGCGCTGACCCCACCAGCAGCGTTCGCAAGTGGCGACACAGCCCCCCACGGATGGCGATGCCTAACTTGAATATGGGTAGGACGTCGCTGTGCTGCCCCACCAGAAACCCTCGAAAGTGGCGGCAGTTTCGCGGATCGCAGCCCCCCAGGGTTGGCGATGCCGATTTTGAATCTGGGTAGGGCGTCACTGCGCTGACCCCCCCAGCAGCCCTCGAAAGTGACGTCAGTTTCGCAGATCGCAGCTACCCAGGGGTGGCGAAGCCGGAAGCAAGTACGAGAGAGGATCGAAAACAAGAGGACGGGGATGGATAAAGAGAGATAAAGAACGAGAACACATAAAAAGGGGGAGGCGGGAGGAGGAGAAGGTGGAGACCACTGTGCTGTATCCAAAATGAATACAATGAATACCCAGCTAAGGAGGGTTGGGAATAAAACAAGAGATAGGAAGAGAGCGGAAAGGGAGGCGGGAGGAGGAGAAGGACGCGACCACACTGGAGTTCAAACCGAGTACCCAACCGAAGGAGGGTTGGAAAGAAATCTGGCCCAATGAAATTCTCGGTCCACCCTGAGAGAATGAAATTTGCAAACGGCTCACACCACTCGCTCATCTTCAATATGAATTCGTGCAACCCCAGGGAGGCGGTCATCGATCCGCCCCCTCACGCCTGGCTAATGCTAGTATGCGCGCGCGTTTATCAGACATACCTGTTCAAGAACCCTTGGAACAAAAAGATACCCTGGCGAAGGACACAACCGTATGCAATTGTGAGTACCGCAGTTGCAAAACCTTCTTCAGCGGAGCCCCCTATGGGGCCACGAAGCGCTGCACTGGGTGGGGGGACGCATGCGGGCGGTAGCACTGGGACCTTCGGTGGAGCCCCCGATAGGCCACCGAAAAGCTGTATTGAGTGGGGGGGGGGGGGCGCATGCGGGCGGTAGCGCTGGGACCTTCGGTGGAGCTTCCTATGGGGCCACGAAGCGCTGTACTGGGTGGGGGGACGCATGCGGGTGGTAGCGCTGGGACCTTCAGTGGTGCTCCGTATGGGGCCACGCAACGCGGTACTGAGCGGGGGGGCGCATGCGAACGGCAGCATGGGGGCCGTCGGTGGAGCTCCCTGCGGGGCCGCGAAGCCTTGTACTGGATGGGCGGGGGAACGCATGCGGGCGGTAGCGCTGGGGCCGTCGGTGGAGCTCCAACGTTCATGCGGGCGGTAGCACTAGGACCTTCGGTGGAGCTCCCCATGGGGCCACGAAGCGCTGCACTGGGTGTGTGTGGGGGGGGGGGGGGGCGCATGCGAGCGGTAGCACTGGGGCCGTCGGTGGAGCTCCCTACGGGGCCACGACGCGCTGTAGGGGGGACGCATGCGGGCGGTGGCGTTGGGACCTGGGGGGGGGGGGGGGGACGCATGCGGGCGGTACCAGTGGGGTCCGTCGGTGAAAATCCCTGTGGGGCCACGAAACTTTGTACGGGGTGGGAAGACGCATGCGGGCGGTAGCACTGGGACCTTCGCTGGAGCTCCCTATGGGGCCACGAAGCTAGTACTGGGTGGGGGGGAACGCATGCGGGCGGTAGCGCTGGGGTCGTGGGCGGAGCTCCATACGGGGCTACGAAACGTGTGAGGGGTGTGATGAAACGGGTGATGACAATGATGATGCTAATGATGATGATGATGATGATGATGATGGTGATGATGATGATGATGATGATGATGATGATGATGATGATGATGATGATGGTGATGATGATGATGATGATAATGATGATGACGATGATGCTGAGGATGATAAGAATGATGAGAGGAGAAGGAAGGGGGCAGCGGAAAGAGGAGTGAAGGACCCAGAGCCACAGGATGGTTCGGAAAACATTGGAACGAAGTCGACACGCGCGTGTCGTCGAGCGTGACTGCTGAAAATGAGCAAGGAAACGTCGGCTCCGTGGGGATTGAAATATCGAGGCGCCCGAACACATGTGAAAAACCAACGGTTTTGCACCATGGTTTATGACAAAATGTGCGCGCGCTGGCGGATTCAAACGAACATCATCAGTGTTTCCCCATCTTCATCACATGCGACCACGCAGTCCTCGCGCGCGCGAAATCTTTGGAACGTCCTGCGCGCTTGCCCCTGTCAAACAATACCATGCCGGCCACTCGTGCCCGTTGGCCGCGCGAGCGTGTGAAAAACACGTGAACACGATCATCGCCATCGGCGTGATCAGCATCGGCGCCGTCATTGGCCTTGCTGTCGTCATTGCCGTCGTCGTCACCAGCACCGCGAATATCATCAGTGCGTCTGCCGTCGTCGACGTCGTCAAACTGAAGTGCCCGCGCGTCAGCACGGCCTGCGAGACGCGCTGGGAAGTCCCCAGCGGTCAGCGTTACCGCGGCCGTGACGGTCGCGCCCGACTAGCTGGCCGCTCTGCGCGCGAGCCCGCGCGCGCTAGCGCGGCCGCAGCGATGCGCCAGCCAGCGCGCAGCGATCAACGCAATCGCCGCCGCATGGGTTTGCAAACCAAGTTGCGGGTGGGTGGGTGTGATGACTGCGCGAGCAGGGGAGGTGACAACTTGAAATTGGGGCGAGGCGAACTGCACCACATGCATTGCGCCACACAGGCTGCACATGGATGTGCCCATGGCAGCCCGACAGACGAGCAGTCTCAGAGGCGTCGGCACCCACACCTCGGAACTCGGTGGGAGCCGACGGAAAAGGCGGCGACGAACAGAGGAGGAGGAGGAGGAGGAGGAGGAGGAGGAGGAGGAGGAAATGGAGGAGGAGATGGAGGAGGATCTGGAGGAGGAGGAGGAGGAGGAGGAGGAGGAGGATGAGGAGGAGGAGGAGGAGGCGGCGACGCTGGCAGCGGCAACGGCGGCGAAGACAACGGCGGCAAGGGCGGCGACGGCGGCGTCGGCGGCGAGGCCGCGGCACGGCAAGCGCAGGGCGGCCGCGTCGGCGATGGCCACCGACCGCTGCTCGGCGGGAGCCGCCGCGCTCGGTGCCACCGGCGCCCTCGGGGGCGGCGGATCGCCGTCGCCGCAGTCGGCGATGGCCACCGCCCGCCAGTCGCAGCCGTCGCCACCGTCGCCCCGTCGTCGCCGCCGCCGCCGCACCCTCCGCCGCCGCTATCGTCGATCGAGGACCGGGGTTCGAAGATCAAGGTCTTTGGGCGTCTTCGGGCCCATGTGGGCCTCCAGGGGTGCTCTCGCGACCACGGCCATAAGGCATCGTCGCCGTCGTTGCCGCCGTCGCCATCGCCGTCGTCGGGAAGGGTGGGAGGATGCGTCGCCGTCGCCCGAGGGCCTAAACTCGAGGGCCGAGGGTTTGACCTTCGGTGGCCTGGCCAGGACGCGCTCCAGGAGAGGTCCAAGGGTCGACAAGAAAGGTTATCGTTGCCGCCGCCGCCGCCGCCGTCGTCGTCGTCGCCATCGTCGTCGTCGTCGTCGCCGTCGCGGCTGTCGCTGTCGTCGTCGTCGTCGTCGCCGTCGTCCCTCCCTGTCGTAGAAGCCGTCCTCTTCCAACTCCGAAGAACAAATCATCCCAATCTTCCCCCCGCCTGCTGCTGCTCCTCCTCTTCACTCCCCGGCTGTTCCTCCTCTGCCTCATCATCCTTAAAGCTATTGATCCTGCTCCTGCTACGTGCTGGTCCTCCTCCTCCTGCACCTGGAATGTCTGTTCCTTCGTTTCTTCCTCGCTCCCCCGTGCCTG